ACAATTATATAACTGTAACTTGGTGTTTGCTGGGATGACTGCTACACAAATATACGAAATCATTCATGTTTGAACGTTCAAGAAATTTACACGTAATGTTGAAGATTTATAAAATTTTGTTTTAAAGCTAAAGCATAATATTTTTAGTGGAAATTTCTACAAATGTGATTAGAATGTGCTTTTTGATCCTCGTCGAACGATGCCTAGATCTAGTCAGCTTCAGAAAAAAACACTCACTTGACTATTCAGCACTTTACAACAAGCGTCACTTGTTTGGAGCAATAAATAGGTGAGCATATCTCGAAACGTATCTTACAATTAGTATATCTCGAAAGTGTATCTTCTAACAGAGTTTATTGTAATTTTTGAAAGAAATATTAAAATGTTTGAAAGCTAATTTATGTCATTGAAATAAATGTCATTTTTTAGTAGCATTTTTATCGTTTATTAAGCCAGAACTAATCTTAGGAGTAAAAAAATTATTAGTCGTCCTAACAGTAAAAAAACTTATTTTGTAATATTGATACAAGTGAAAACAGTATTGATCCGAATTGACCCATGTGTCGTATTCTGTGCGATTACCGAAATTATCAGTATTGCGAAAGTTAGTAAAATAAGCTAATACATTGCTATTTGCACTAATGATAAATACATAATATTGAGGTATTGAATACATTACATTGTAAAAGCTTTAATTTTTTTATTTTAGATAAATTTTTGCAAAATATATGTTTTGAATAATTTATTAAGTTATGTCGCGCTTCGAAGAATGTTATTTATATTCAATTATGAGATTATTTTAAGATTTATTTGTTGTGATGAAATCTTTTCTTATAGAGAATATAGTAACACAATGCAATTTGTTAATATCTTTTTTTAATATATTATACATATTTAATATTATGTACAATTTTTATATTTAATTTATAAGGACAGTGCATGAAGTTAATTGTGAATGGGAATGTATTATAATATTGTTGTAAATAATTACATCTTAATTTTCTTAATGTTTATAATATTGTTGTCTCGAAAATAGAGTCCACTTGTGCAATATTTCTCAAATGGCGGTTCTAGAAGACGCTGTGCGCAATAGAAGTATATATTTTTAATAATCTATAAGTTCATCATTAAGTTCAAAATAATACAAAAAAATTGGAAGAAAAGCAAAACGAGGAGGAAAAAAGCTTTGGAGTCCCATCTGGCTCGCAGCAATAGGCAGCGCTACAGCACTTCTCGGTGCTCGACTGCTATCCGGTTCTCCGGAGAGGAGAGGCCGGCCGTAAGTCTACCAACTTCTGAACTGTGCTCATAGCATGCATTGCAGGAAAATATATTAATCAAAACATACACAATTGGTTCTACTAGAGATTTTTTTATACCATTTTTGCATGATTTATGTTGCGCACAGCGTTCTCGAGAAGTGCCAAGTCAGCGAGACATAAGTCTTGCTTATTACTGTTGCACAAATGGATTCTACTTGATGAGACCTCGTCAATGATATATAATACATATCCATTCGATTAATATTTCATGCTTTGTTAAATATTTCTATGAATATGTAAATATTATCTAATGTTGCATATACTTTTTATGTAACTTAGTAAACGTTATATTCAATATGTGTTCAGATAATGTTTTTTTTATTTAATGTATCATTTGCTACGTCTATATAGAATCTGTCTTATATTGCCGTCAAACAGAAACTTGATGGCAGTGACAGTGTTTAAGACGCTACATTGAGATTGTTACAAAAATATTAGAAGTTGTGTTAGAAGTGGTTGGTGGTTTTAGAAGAATTAATATTGAAGGATTTACAAGTTTGCTTAGAAATAAAGCAACATCTTTTACGCTGAGATCTTTAGAAAAGTAACGTATTAAAATAATTCTTAACAAAGTAAACTCTTATATTAACAATAATGCATATGCATTATTGAATATATAACATTAGAGAATTAGTTATATCATTATACCTGGGTATCAAAAAAAAAGTTTTTAATCTTTTTGTAAAACATAATTCATGCATAACTAAAATGTATATTTTATATAAATTATTTGTATCCATTCGAAAAATGACATTTTTATTTGATTGTAAGATATTTATTTGTTACAATAACATATTTTTTATGAAGAATATTATTCATTGTTACAATTCGTAAACTACATAACAATTTGTTATAAATATTTATTACAAGATAAATGATTTTAAATATAATTCTACTAAAAAAAGCTGTGATATAAGGAAAATTGCAAAATTGCAGTAACACAATGCAACTTGTTAATTTTTTCTTAATATTTTTTAAAATTATGTACAATTTTTATATTTAATTTACAAGAGCAAAGTACGAAATGTTAATCGCGAATGGGAATGCATTATATGTTGTTCAAAAGGTCTCGAAAATTTTAAACATACTATTTATATAATTTATTAAATGTATTTTTTTACGTTAACCTTTTTGATACGAGCGTTGACTATAGTCGACAGCCACCAACTGCAACAAATAGAAAATTTTATACAAATCAATAATACATTATTAGAAGACACGTATTACACAAAAATATCCGCGCAGCGATAAATCTTCTCTCATCAAGTTGCTCTTGGCTGTCAGATAAACACTACGTGGTGCATGTCCGCCGTGCCAAAGGGATTAAAAAATTACTAAATTATTTACCTTTTTTAAGTATAATATAACGTAATAAGTATTATATAACGTTTTTAAGTATTATATAACGCATTGACATTTAGGAGCAATTAAGGAACTCACAAAAGAGATAAAAGGAAAATTAAGAAAACTGTAGTTTGTTCAACAAAAAATGATTATCATTTCACTGCTCTTATGCATCTTTCTCATTTTACTGTGCCATTACTTTATTCATCATGGAAGATTTTGGCAACTTATCGATCAAATACCAGGACCACCGCCGCTCATATTACTCGGCAATACTCTTTTATGGTGCACCAGTTCATTAGGCAAGTAAAATTATGTACATTTGCAGATTAATGAATAGCATATAGATATTATGTAAAAAATGTTTCTTAGTAAGACACAAAGATATGAACAGTATAGATGATTTGATTACACAACATTTTGTCAATAACATATACATATAACGATAATCGTAAAATTATCAAGTGTAATAATATACAGCGTGTGTCAAAAGTTCCGGGACGGCTGGATAATTTGAAAAATACGCATCAGAGGAAAATAACCTCGACAAAAGTTGTAGGATTTTTCTCGGGCAATCCGATGGTGATCTTAGATTTGGCCTTGCCCGTGACCTTCAAGGTCATTTCTAGGTCAAATCAAATTTTGAAACAGAAACCCCTATTTTTGATTCCAAAATCTAATAGCTGGTGTCAAGAGCTTTTCAAAACACTATAATGAAGTTATTTTCATTAAGTACTTTTCGAGTTATGAGGCTTGAAAGTTACAGCATTTTGACATAAAATATAAAATATCTTGTAAAACATTAAATTTTCGGAAATCTTACCTTAATACTTTTATGCACAAAATAATGAGACGAATCAATTGGTATAAAGAAAAGAATATAGCAAAAGCTATATCTGAGAGTAAAGGAGGACATTACAAATAAATTAATATGAACATACAGACCCACAATGTTTAGGGTTATGATGGTCCTGGAAAAACTTATTGACTAAAATTTGAATCAATTTGATAAATACACAATTTTTAAAAAGGGCAATTTTTAGGGTAGTCATATTTAAAAAAATAAACAAGTATTCGATTCGACCAATATAGGGCTTGTTCGTTTTAGCTACACTGGGGCTGCTCTGGTTCTGCTCTACACAGGATAATACAGGACAGATAAATAGTTTGTCCTGTATTATCTTGTTTAGAGCAGACCCAGAGCTGCCCCAGTGCAGCTAAAACGAACAAGCCCATAGTTTCAAGTTTTATGATGACGTTTTTTTTCAATTGATATACAATATTTGTTTTAGAAAAAATTAAAGTCTTTCAGAACAAGCACACAAAATTTTGTGTATGTGTAGTGTTAAGAATATAGAATTAAATTTTAAAACTTAATTGTTAAATGAAACTTTGTGCGGTGCACAACTTGCACACTTGCTTGCGGCGGTTCATGACTATAATCCTCTCAAATTATAGATGAAAAGATTGTTTTTATTGTCTAGCTTGCATTCGTGTTTAATATATGAGTGTTTTTGCATCTATTGTAGTTTACGTGTAAACGCCCAACCCTGGCTTTTAATATTCAAAATAAGTTATTGGTCATTACTGTATGAAATATCTATAAGAGTTTATCATCTTTTTAAATATTAATAAAAATGCAATATTTTATTTACACACACGCACGCACGCACGCACACACAAAATTATAGAAGTAATTTATTAAAATAATTTAAATGTACATTTTCAAATTACACAGGTTATTGAAAATAATTGATCTTTTGCTAAATAAACTGTAAATGCAAAAGTAAATGTTGCAATACATATATTTATAATACGTGTGTATTTATATTTCAAATCTGATTGATATACATCATCATGTTTTACAAGTATGCATTACCGACACTTTGCAGATATAGCACATATCGGAACCAAAAAGTCGTGGACGTAGCACGGAAGAGACCCAAAAGATCGTGGACATTACCTACGGGATTCGTGGACATTGGCTACGTAGTTCAATGTGCACGTTTTGTGCACATAAAAGCGCTAGCCCACAGAAACACGTAAAATGCGGGCATGTCCACTCTGCTGGTAGTATCCTCTCCATTCAGCTACTTGCTTCTTGCGTCTCAAACAGTCTCAAATCTGACTATGGCTTAGTTTACACCGATTGTTTAGTACGCGTACCAAATACTAAATCTGCTTCTGCGATAGGTATAAATCGTTTATTGTAAAATCTACACCAATCAAAGAAGCTGATTTAGTACTTGGTACGCGTACTAAACAATCGGTGTAAACTAAGCCTATACTGTCCTAGCCGTGCGGGAAGGGTGCATTATCAAGTTATTAAGAAGAAGAATAAATATGGCCGCAAGGAGGAGCTTTCTGGTGCCATTACACATCTACTAAAATGCTAAAAAAATACATTTCACATGTAAAAAATTTTAAATGTAATATTATTTTTTATTATTTAAATTTAAAGCTATTTTTTGTGATGTAATGTTTGCGATGATTGTAGATGTATATTTATGTTATATGACAATTATTTTTCTGGCTAAGCAGTATGGTGATATAACCTAATAATTTGAACGTACGTAACACGTGCATACAATTTATTTCATATTATTGACCAAGAAGTGAACCAAGAAATACGAACCTAAAATAATTCCTAAAATAATTTTATTAAATTACTATTGTATTGTTAAATATAGTATATATAATTTTTGAGATTTTTCATCAATTGTAGCATTTTCGTTTGATACAGGAGGAGGACGTTGTGAAAATGACCATGAGAATAGACGTGAGAATAGCCATGGCAGTAGCTATGATGGTGCTGGAAGTAGTACCAAGTTTTTGTAAAGAAGGTTCTCTATAAAGACAATAAAGTAATGGTTGAGGAAGACAAGGAAAAAGTGGTTTTAAAACTGAAAAGAATGTAATAATAAAACCACAGTGTCAAAGAGGATTACTCATAGCTGAAGGAAGATGCTTTAATGACTTCAAGTTTAGTATTTGGAATATCAGTATATGGAAAAAAAGAGAATCGACAGTGAGGTAAACTCAGCTTGAATTATAATAATTTTGCTCTTTGTATTTCTTATATTTAAATTAATGGTACAAAATTATATATATAGCAAGACACAGATTCTAAGAAAGTTGAATATATAGTATGGAATATATTTAGATTTAAATTAGCTGTAGAACTTATTGGAAGAGTTGATCAAATTAACTTATCTTATGATAATAAAGTGTTATATTTTTAGGTTCTGCATCAGGAATCAACACTATATCCCATATTGCAGATGTAATTGATCCAATAAGTAAAATTTATAATAGAAATCTATAAGAAATTTTAGAAATTAATTTATGCACACATTAGAGCCAAGTTGGTTAATAATTACCATCTTGGTGTCGAAGTGGTGCTAAAGTAATTACATACTCGTTTTTCAAATGAGTAAGCTCTAGTTTTACTCGAAAAAAATGTGTGTACAAAACTTATGTTATTAATATGAAAATATTTAAATTGGATTTAGAGTAGTAAATATGTTGATATTTTTATGCATGCAGGAAGGGATTGTGTTTGCAGTGGAATTTTCTTATAGAAGAGTCAGAGATCTTAGAGACATTGCTAACAGAAGGAGTAACATTCTTATAGTTGGAGATGCAAGACACTCTTGTAAATACAGAATGCTAATAGGAATGGTAAATATTAACTATTAAAAAAATTTGTCAATGTAAATTATAAAATATAATCAATAAGTATACTTGGATTTTGCTAACAATGTGGAAATTGATGATTATTTATTGATTTTAGACGAAATCTAAATATAAACCGACTTGCAACACCTAAAACAGTATTTGCAGTAGAAGTAAAGAAACAAAAAGCTGACAATTTGAAACAGCAGAAACAAATCATGGATCCATATGATAGAAATCACATTATTGTGGCTGGTCTACAAGGTGCTGAAAAAAGCTGCTTAAAATTATTTATATAAATATGTATAAATATATATAAATGTTAATTGCTAAATTTTCATTGCATATTTACTATTTGCCCAAACTTATTTCTTTAGTTTCTGTCTGAGTTTTATATTTGTTGTATATGTAAGATCACAAAAAATAAATTGTTATTTGATAGATTAATAGAAAAATAAATTTTGACATTGTAATATGAAGTATTTGTACTAATTTACAAGAAAATATCACAAAGTAAAAGATTGATTAAGTCTTAAAATTTTAATCTTGTAGTTTTAAAACATTTAATTTCTAAAACGTTTTTTTTTTCTTCCTGACATCTCTTTTTCAAACTTCATGTTATTCTGTCGATAATTTTAAATTATCAAAGAAAAGATATATAACTCATTTGCTATTTTATTTATCATTCCGTATTTATGTTAAATTTGTATAGAAAAAGATGCTTTTCAGTGCGATATCTGACATCCAATAAGAAACCGTGCTTTATTCAATGTCTTAATAGTCCCTAGAAAACAAAATCTCATTGGATATCAGTGTCGTACAACGGAGTGTGAATGACATGACAAACAGTGTGAATCTTACATTAGAATTTGCTCATGGACGATCGAGTCTTTCCGGTTGTGAAGCACGCCTGACAACATGGGTATGTTGTAAGATTTTCTAATATTACCATATTTTTAATATAATATTTATAAAAAAAAGGTACAAACTTTATCAAGATATTTTGTTCAATATTTTTTTATATTTGCGACGCATTTACAAATGAATATTTTTTTAATTTAATTGTGAATCTTAAAGATGTGAAGTACAACAAAATTATTAGACATTGATATTATTATATTTACATAGTAGCTTTATTTTTTACTGTAATAGATACATTTTTAATATTTTTCCATGTAAAGAATTTTATTTTTGTCTAAGAAAATGTACAAAACGAATTTATTTGTTGTATTACAGGTAAACCCAGAGGTCTTCGCACTGCACGTAAACATGTAAATCATAGACGTGAACAACGGTGGAATGACAAAGACTACAAAAAGGCACATTTAGGAACCAGATGGAAGGCTAATCCTTTCGGTGGTGCCTCTCATGCTAAGGGTATTGTTTTAGAAAAAGTGTATGTAATAACCTCTATGTTGTTATTCAGAAAATTTATATTTAGTCATGTAATTTATTAATATTGTATTATTTAATAGAGGAGTTGAAGCCAAACAGCCAAATTCTGCTATTCGTAAATGTGTCAGGGTGCAACTGATTAAGAATGGAAAAAAAATCACAGCTTTTGTACCAAGAGACGGTTGTCTCAATAATATCGAGGAAAACGACGAAGTTCTAGTAGCAGGTTTTGGTCGGAAAGGTCACGCTGTCGGTGATATTCCTGGAGTACGATTTAAGGTTGTAAAGGTTGCGAACGTTTCTTTGCTTGCTCTTTACAAAGAGAAAAAGGAACGACCTAGGTCTTAAATTATCGACTTTCAGGCTTGTACTGATAAATATAAACATAAATTAAAAACTTATACAATTGTTTTATTTAAATCTTACTATTAAATAATTTTTCCTTTACATTATAAAAAAGTTCTTATAGACTATTTTTATAATTATATGATAATACTGTTCCTTATACATTTATAAATATTTAGAACATTATTCTTAAATCTAAAACTATATACAATCACAAGATCAATAAAATACACTGTCATTTTTCATACTTAGATTTTCAAGTTCCTCATGATTAATTACTACATCTTCTATAATTGGACTTAAAGATGTACATGTCTTTGATAATTTTTTTGGTAAAATTACTTTGGATACCTCATCTCTTGCTTGCAATACCTGTAAATAATTGGTTAGACATGTGAAAAATGAAAAAATCTGAACTTATAACAAAAAAGTAATTTACACTGTGACATAGATAAAATTCATACCTTTTTCAAAGTAGAAAAATCAGAGCATATGTTTTTAAGATTTGAGCAAATAGAATCAGAAGTAACCTTATCTAAATTTCTGTTTGGTATTGGCCAAGATGAAATAGTTTCAAAAGCTTCTATGAATTTTTTTTCTGCTTTGTCCAATAGGTCATCACATTCTTCATTGACCAGTTTATCAGTCTATAATATTCGCACAAAATATTAATAAATGGCACATTATTTGTTTACTATTTGATTAACATAATTCTATTATACCTCTATATCTAAATCTTCAGACAAATTAGTTTTAGTATCTTCGCAATCATTAATCAGTATCTCTTTCTTATTTTCTTCAAAATACTTAATGGCTTCCAAATAACTTACTTTTGGTTTAACAACAGAAAGAGAAGATACCTGATTTATGTCATCATCAATATATAACTAAAAATATTTTTACACATTATATAATTTATTAATCATTGATATATTATATAATTTAGGAAAATTAGTAATACCTTAACAATATCCATAAGTGTTTCCTCTGTTTCATTTTTATTTACAAAAGATTTCATGTGTACCTTTTTCATAAAATCTAACAATAATTTTAAAAATGGCAGCTGTTCCTTTAAGGAACTTTTACCCTAAATTAAAAGTAAATGTCTTTAATATGTAGACAATGATGTTAATACAACCATATTTTCATAAAATATATTATTTTATAAACAAACCAGTAATATATCTTTATTGTTGCAGAGTCCTATTTGAGAGTAATAATTAAACAGCTGATCTAAAAAGATATATTTTTTTAATATATTAAGAAACATGCTTTTAAATGTTGCTTTCTTAATTGTATACATTAGTTTATTATAAGTAATAATCAAATATATAATTCCAAGCTTAGCTGTTATATAAATATCAATTATTACTGACAAAAAAAAACTACCTTCCAAAGCAGCATCCTTTAACTTTTCTAAATGATCGACGATAGACGGCAATTTTTCTGTCAGGATCCAGGAAAATAGACGAAGACGATTTTCGCCATTGAGAACTGTTGTTTCCAGATCTTTGGACTCTGCATTAGCAATATGTGGATATCGTAAACTTACCAAAGTATTGTATATACTTGTTATAACATCTTTCGTGTTATCCATAATTTAACTCAACACATACACTTTTCGTTTTTTTTATCTTTTGGAGTGCCTTCAACCTGTCTCCTCTGGGCAGGTTTTTTAGCATCAGAACTACGGATTATATTCTTGACTCGTCTAGATATCTATCCAGTCTCTTTGTTTAAATTTTCTTCTATTCAAGTATCCTATACCCAACTCGTCACTTTTTAAATCTTCTTTACACCATTTTTTCTGTAGTTTTGTAATAATATCGGTGAATCAAGCGATGTCATATGGCCGAAGATGATGTTTTGAAGTTTCAAACAGTGGACATGAACAACACGTTTAAAGAAGATAGCAGACTCTTATAGATACTTGGAACCATTAAGCTCTATAACATACTGAGTGAGTCTTTCTTAGAACCAGTATGTAGTTCGCGGTCCAAAGATAGCATTAGTAGAAGAGGGGACATACACAACGTCTGTTCTCCTTCCACATTACTAGCGTATATTATGGGGATTTAAAAAACGAAGGAATAAGAATATTAAATATTAGAAGTAGGAAATTGAAATTATTTTATTTCAAAACAAGAAAATTAAATGGATTAACATATCAGGAATTAGGAAATAAAAATTGGAAATAATCTATTCTGTTCCTTTATTTAAAATAAAATAATTTTAAATAGCTGTTTCTAATATTTAATATTTATTCTTATTCCTAATATTTTCTCTATTGTGCGTAGGGCCCAATGTATCTATACATAAAAATTATTCCTTTCAAAAAAATCAGTGTAAAAAATATATTTGCATCTTCAAATATTTTGAACAAAAATAATCTTACATTGTGTGTTTCAAATTAATATCTATTTTATTAATTTACTATTGCTAAGTGAAAAAATAACGTTCTTATCTATACTTCCATATAAATAAAAAAATTACAATCAATGTATGTATCGTAATTGTAAATGTTATTTTATACGATACAAAATTTAATGTTTTGTAAACTTCTTAACATATAATATATAACTCAAGTAGCTTTAAAGAAATCTTCTGAACTAGTTGTGTAAATATGTCCTTCACAGAGAAGAAAATCTAATATCTCATCGATACGTGGTTTGATGTGTTTAGGCATTTTACTCAAAATATCATGTTTCTCAATACCGCATTCTGATTCATTCGCTGATCGAACAATTTCAAGAATTGCCACTTGATCAGGTGACATACCACTTATTGTATTATCGAACGTTAATGTATTAGATACAGCAGGTTCTTTTTCAGTTTTTCCAGCATTCAATATAAAATACATGACTTCCAAAAAGTGACATGTCACCTCGTTTAAGTCTTCCACAGGATACATACGCAAGATCAACACATGTCGTTGATTATTTTGATTGCGTATCAAACCATAAACTCTTACATATGTATTAAGTTGTACACAAGCATTTTCTGCAGGATTCTTGTCTGCTTCTAACCACATGACAGCAGTGAGAGTACCTATAATATAAAATAAAATCAAAATAAGTTTTACTCTTAGCAATGATAATAATTTGAAAATAATAATTGTATGCAATATTCAGATTTCTTGATTATATAAAATTTTTACAAACTTATGCAATACATGGCATAGCAACTCGACCAAACTTTTTATTTGTATTTGTAATTTTACATGTTATCATTAAAATTGAAATGATTTATACAAGTAAAATACCTGTATCATCCTGAATACTGAAAGACATCTTCGTCGTATCTTGTTCGATATGACGTACAACTCCGACGAATGTCAGAGTATTTACAGTTTTGTCAGAAATCTGCAAATCTCCCGTTGTAGACGTGATATGCTTTATCCATACGGGAATGATGCTCTTGTCATTACTTTGCGAACTTTTTTTGCCAGATCCTCCGGCCTGTGTGCTATCATCCAAAAATCCGCCTCCAAGATTCGAAGAACTTTCATTCCACATGACTCCAACTTATATGATGCACGATTATCAAAAATATAAACAGAAAACGTAAAAAATAACGTAAAACCGAAATAGAAACTCAATTTTCTAGACGAAGTATAGCCGGTATTAGGATTGTATTGAAAGGTTAACTTTTACGCGCGAAACGCAATTCGGCTTCATAAATACAGATTAGGTTAGATGCGCAGATTGGTAATTTTACAACTTCTATTGACTGCAAAATCGTAATTTATGTATATGTAAAAATTATTTGTGACGTTTTCTATTTTGGAGATAACGATATACATGTGTATATTATTATGTATTTCTATTTAATTACAATTATTAATTATTATTTTAATGAATCTATGAGAATAAGCATAGACTAAGATGTATCTAGATCAGTTATTTCGCTTGCATGGTTCCGAATAGTTAAAGTATATTGCATTTATTGTACGAGTTTCGCAGTAATATGGCGTGGCCAATCAGATTTGCTATCTCGCATCTTTTCAATTGCATTATACTCTTTTTGCTAAATAGACACGTTACAGCCGGTTCAGGCATTTTCTTATGTCCATAGGAATTAAAACAAAAAATATTTTTGTGCAATAATACTCTCATGTTGAGATGAATCTGGCGTGTAAAAGCACGTGTTGAATTACTTTAAATTTGAATCCGCCTTTAACCGTTGAAGATGACTCGCAGCGGATTGTTCGTATCTTTGGTTTGTTGATTTGATACATTACCATAAAAAGTAACATGGCGTCTAAGATCCATGTGGACAACACGGTGAATGAACGCCGTTTGCGACCGATTTATGGTACGTATATTTTTGTCGACAACGATCTGACTTGAAATTTGTTGCATTAATCACGCTCGAACTATTTGCTTGTACTTTTCGGACCAGCGATGAGGTTATATAACGACACATCAGTATTAAGCTTCTCTGCATTCTAGATTGGCTAGACAATGGAAACAATAAAAAAGCGCTTCAGGAAGCAGACAGGGTGCTCAAAAAGCATCCATCTAATCAATGTGCCAGAGTGCTCAAGGCTTTGGCTCTGCTACGGTTGGGAAAGGAGAATGAATGTCAGATCATCATGGACAAAGTGCGGTCTGAAATACCCTGTGAAGATTCTACTCTGCAGGCGATGAGTATCTGTTACAGAGAGATACATCAACGTAAGTCTTTAACTTGTCTATTAATTTGGAATGTGCAAATCGTATTTATAATTAATTGTATCATGACTACCTTGTTATTACAATTCTTTTACTTGTATAGCTGACAAAATTAGTGAGGTTTATGAAGCTGCTTCAAAAGCTGATCCAAATAACGAGGAGCTTCTAACACATCTTTTCATGTCATATGTTCGCCTTGGTGATTATAAGAAACAACAACAAACTGCTCTTACTTTATATAAATTAAAACCTAAGAATCCATATTATTTCTGGGCTGTTATGAGTACGGTGATGCAAGCTATTCATGCAGATCAAAAATTAGCAAAAGGAGTTATCTTGCCTTTGGCAGAGAGAATGGTTTGTATCTTGATTTCGTTATTGTTATTACAGCTATAACTGCATGTATGTGTGAAATCATAGAGACTATATTAATTTGTATATAAAAGAATGTAAAAATGGTTAATACAATTTTTTTATGTATATATTAGGTCCTAAAATTAGTGAGAGAAGGAAGAATGGAAGCGGAACAAGAAGTGCAACTTTATTTGATGATTTTGGAACTGCAAGATAAAAATGAGGAAATATTAAGTGTATTATCTAGTCCCTTAGCTTCACATCTTTCATATGTACCACAACGAAAGGCTACAATCTTACTAAAACTGGAACGGTTTTCTGAAGCTGCTAATGCATATCGTGAACTTATTAAAGAAAAGTAAGCAAAATCTTATCAATATTCTCTTTTGTTTTAAAAATCTGTATTTTAGTATAAGTAATATAATGATTATATATAAAATAATTATATCTGTTACGTAGTATTGACAATTGGGCATTTTATCAAAATTATCTTTTGGCGGCCTTGGAATTTCAACAACCAACAGAATGCTTGGACTTTCTAAACAATCTCATTAATACATCTGAAAAGAAAATTCGTGCACCATACTTGGCCCGATTAGAATTATTAGAACGTACTGATGATAAACATCTACGATATATTTTGCAACCTGTAGACTTTATGCACCAGTATTTCTCTCAATTTGGAGAAAAAGGCTGTGTAGTTAGTGATTTGCGATTATATCTAAATCTGCTCACACCCGAAGCCAGGTCTGAATTACTTGAAAAGGTAAGAAATCTCAATATTAATTAGATTGTCGAAAGTATTTAATGTAATACTATTGTGTTTATATATTATAGATCGAGGAAGACATTGGCGTTAAACTAGATGAGTTTCCAACTAATGTACGACAAATGCAAAAGCACATTCATCTGCAGCAATTGCGACGTATTTGTGGCTTCCATCATCCTCCTTTAGCAGACAGAGATAAACAAGAAGAATTGATAAAACGACTATGTGATTTGTATAAAAAAGGCAGTGAATTGTGTCCCGCAGAAGATAGATTGCCAACCGATTTCTGTCCAGCGGATCCATATATTTTGTTAGCTACACATTTGCTACATCAATTATGGGTTGATACCAACGAAGCATCTTTTCTTTATAGGTAATAATATAATATATTTGCATAATGTATGTAAAATTATATTGTATAATTATATTATTATATATATATATAACATCAAAGCTTTAATATATCGAATTATTAATATATATATTAAATATTAGAGCTTTGATATAATATGTACAAGTATATAAAAGTTTTAATTGGTAATTAAGATTGTTAACAATATTTTGAAAACATGCACATTTTCAAAACGATGGATTTGCAGGGCGATATCATTATTGGAACACGGTCTTCTAACGAGCCCTGTAAATTTTCACATCAAAATTTTGCTCGTGCGTACATATTTAGAGGCTGGTCTAGTGGTCGCGGCTGATCATGCGTTTGCATTACTTGACGTAAAGCACCTTCAACTAGATTCACTGGGTCATCTCCACGCACCTCTTCTCGCGCCTCTCGGTAACTTGCCTCTGGCCTCAACAACTCTTGATCATACGGCGAAATTTTTCTTAGCCAACTATAAGGATGTATGTGTTTTCGAGTGTAATAGATTCATGGAAAGACTTATTTTACTATAATTTATGAATTGTTTTTTCTTTTCTAGAGCGCGGATCATTTAACATTTGCATACAAGTACGGCAGTTTCATAAAGATTCAGGAATTTGTTGAGTTAAGAGAACGATTAGAGAATTCGTTCTACTTCGCAATGGCAACTATAGATAAGATGTTGCTAGACTTATGCTGCTGTGATAGTGCTGCCTCATTGTTTTCCACTTTGAATAATATGCACATACAACCCCATGTCGAATCGCCCATTAGATGGGCGTCCTTAAGAGATAATCGTGATCTGGAGGTAAATTCTTTAAAATCTCGATATAATTTAAAGAAGTGCACAGTTGATCAATGATGAATTTCATAAATTGTGGGATTAAACAGGTTGTTCGTGGATGGGAGCCATTTAATGAGAACGAGAAGAAAGATTTATATATGCAAGAGGAGACACGTGTGTGTATGTTAAGACTGCTTGCGGCGAGGAATAGCGTATTGCGCATTGTAGCAGCGAGTGCAGAACCATCTTCTATTTTTCTCTCTAAATTGTCTGACGAGCTTAGAGAGATAGTTGAAAAATTTATTCCGAAAGCACTAGAACTTTTTGATACGGATGGGAAACGGAACAGACCATGCAATTTATTAGTTCCGTTAGATGCAGTGGAAAGATTACGTGAAGCTTACTGTTCCGAGCAACTGAGGACTATAGCGTGCCTTGCAAAATCACTTTCTGATTCTCATTGTCCGGATTTTGATTGCATACAGACGCTACGGACGTCCCCTTGTTTGCAAACATTACCTATCCCCGAACAGGATACACCAGTGCCCTTGAAAAACTTTTTTCTCCGAGCCTCAACTTGCAGCGAATCATTAGCGATCATTAGTGCTATATGTATTGTGTGTGCGGTACAATCGAAACCAGGTACATCGCAAAAGAAAAATAAAAAGAAATATAAGAAAATCGAATCAGACGTGATAAATGAGACTAATGAAACGAAGGTAATTATTATATCTTTTTGTATGAAATAATTATTCTTAATATAATTAGAGACTTATTAACAATAATGATCTTTGTGCCGTAATTATTAAGGCGATATTTTAACAATATATGTCTATGAAATTTTATACGCTACAATTAGTCTGTATAATTATTTATTTTATTGCAGATTTGGAGAGAAGTGGCTGTATTATTGTCGGAGAAAGTTGAAAATTTAGATGCGGTCCTAACAGAATTTGAAAAATATGAGTTACACACAGGATTAGATGAGACGGACGATGTATGCGTCACCATCATCAATCGTGGGCAAGCGAGTCTCAGGCAAAGTTGCAGATCTCTCAAATCTCGCACTCAGCCCTTATTAAGGCTTTTAAGTAATTTAAAGAGCTGAAACTATTGGACAATATTTGTACAAAGAATATCTATATCCGTCTACTTGATTTTCAAAAATCTCTCAAGAATTCTGTACATAATTCTTAGTCCCAATCAATTATAAATAATGAAGGAATGGTTTAACGCTATTTGAAATACCTGAGCCTACTTTTATTTTTGTAAAAATATTATCACGCAGTCGTTCTAATATACTGCCATTCACGATCAACTGATGCGCTTGCAATACCATATCTTTCAACTTAAATAGTAAGTGTAAAAATTTCGACAATTACTATGCTATTTCTAAGCTCGTAAAATTTTTACAGCTAAAGACAGCTCGTTAATTTCATCGATTTAAAGTGTGGTTTATATATTTTTTAATTACGTGCCATTTTTTTTCATTAAAGTAATTGTACATATACACTATTACACATAAAGCCTATCAGTTCGGTGGGTCCATCAAAACGACAAAGTCATTTTAAATAATAATGCGTAGGTAGTATTTAATTATATTTTTGTGACAATTGTATCTTGTTTTTCCACTATGCATATTAATAAATTTATATGTTACTTAGCAACATTACTAACGATTACTAATGATTCAAACAGTTCAGTGGAATCGATGTATAGACGATGATAAATTGCTTATTGAATCCTGAAAGGAATTCCGAATGCGGATAACAGTACATGTTTATAATGTAATTTTTTTATTTTTGTAATTATTTCAGTTATGATAGAAGAAATGTTAAATTTTTCCGAACACATTTAGATTTGATCAACGATTAATTATATCAATGTTCTTTAAATATTTGTACTAAACACATCAAGGTTTACTTCTGACTGAAAATCTTTAGGACAAGCAATAAGTATTTTGTCGATATTATGTAATAAAAATAATTTGATTTGCAATTTATAAAAAGATTTTATACCTATTGCACATCCAACTCTATTAATGTATACATATTTGTACAATAGTAGTCATCTAAAGGAGTCATCACGTATATTTATTCTGTATTTCAGTACAGAGTTAGATGTTAAATTAAATTATCTAAATCAGAAAGTAATTATTATATATATATATATATATATATATATATATATATATATATATATATATATATT